TGGCAAGCAAATTATATACTCCAAAGGCCTAATCCCTGTGTCAGAATGTTGGGTGTGTCAAATTGCCCCCTAAAGTAGAGAATAAGGATATAAGTTAAATTACACAGTCAACTGGAATAACCCTGTCTTTCTTTCCTTCCAATTTTTTTCCATTTCAGTATGATTCCATGTCCTCCAATTTGTGTAAGGAGAGGAATCTAGAGAAATCTTGGCAAGAAAACTTTGTCTCTATTCTGATAGTCATCTTCACAGCACTAAAAGAGATGTCAGAAATTAACTATAAAGTCTTCACAGGTTAAGGTTAAGATAGACAGATAGATGATTGATAGGTAGGTAGGTAGATAGATGATAAATAAATAAAGAGATAGATATTTAGAAATATTTTTTTTCTCCAAAAGATATATTATGGCTTATTTTTCAGTTAGTTCTTATTTTCGGGGAAATATGGTAAACGTGTCCGTCTGGTTGACAATCTTCAATGGGGTTTATTTTTGGGGTAGCTTATATTACGAGCATCCTGAAAAATCATGTTAGGGCTTATTTAGATCTTATTTTGGGGTAAACATGGTTCTGTTGACTGGAAATTTCAGAATTCTTTAAAATTAAACCAAACTTCGTCTACATAGGTCTAATTCCAGGACTGATCTCTGTAAAAGACAAGTTATGACTATCCTATTCAGCACCCTCTTCATGCATTTCAAATTAATTCCAGTGCCCATTCCATGGGAATTCTGAAGCTATCTGATTGGAAGGTTCAGATTTACTATTATACACAGTCTTTCCCTTGAGCTTCACTATTGAGTAGTAAGAGAACATGAAGTGCCTTTAATTTCCCCAGATGAGATAATCATCTTTGGAAATCAAATAAAATCCAAATCAGGCAAAGAAGATGATTACTTGATTTGATTTCACCGCAATGTAATTTGGGATTAAAAAGTAGGATAGCCATATTATCTAGTCTTAACCTTTCCTTTAGTTATCTAGGGTGCTGCTTTGCTTGTTCTAAAATAGAACAAGCTCTTTTTCACATTGCCACATATGTGACATTTGAGTAATCTGCCTTGCCCTAAAATAATACACCATGGAAAGCAAAAGTGGGAGCTGCCAGTTACTAAGAAAGTAGAACTTGTTGTTGAAATATGTTAGAAGTTCTTCCAAACAGGAACAAACATGACATAATCAAATTAGAATAGTCCTCTCATATGTTTGTATAATTTTTCAAATGCTGAAAGCTCAGAAGTAATGGATAAAGGACGTGTATTATCCTCAATACTGTTTCCGTGGGAAGTAATTGCAAATTAAGTAGTTGTTTCACTCGTAATATTGACCAAGGAAACTTCTAAAAGTTATTTTATTCCACTGTTATACTGTGGAATACATAATCTTTACTCTGACATATGGATATGGTATATGTTTTTACCTTAAACAGAGCATCCACGTTTTTGTTTATTCTTACAACTCTATTATTTATTAAATTGTTATCTTGCCTTTATAAATAACTCAAGGCAGCAAACATACATAAATACTCCTTCCTCCTCCTATTTTCCCTATGAAATGAATTGAGTTGTGAGTGATTGGCCTAAAGTCACCCAGCTGTTTTTTATGCTTAAGGCAGAACTAGAACTCACAGTGTCCTAGTTTCTAGGCCAGCACCTTAACCATTACACCAAACTGGCTCTCCAAACTCCATATAGTAATAGTGCAAGCAAAAAATATATTAATAAAGAAGGATATTTGTATCTCAGGGCCTGAAATGAAAATTATATTAAAAATTATATTATATTCAAAAACTATATTCTTTGTCTATAGATGAAACAAAATTAACAAAACAAAAGCCAACAGGGGGTGATGGAAGAGGTCAAACTACTTGTACAGATCAAATTATTACTTTGCGTATAAAGCAATAGCTTCCTAGAATTTCTAATAGAATAATGCCAAATATTTTATCCTTCTGATTGAAATTAGAAGTGCATTGATTTATTTTTGTAGTGAAAAGAATATTGCAGAAACTTTAAAACTATAGCATGTTCTTAAAATTGTATTTTTTAAATATTTATTCAATAATGCTTGGCTTGTTAAAAGTTCCATCAAAGCACCCATCTACAAAATGCAGACAAGTTCAAAAGAGAGAAATTAATACTGTATTCACTTCTAGGTCTCCTCTTTATACCAAACAGGTGGTGACCCCTATTGGTGAAACGTAGGTATTGCCGATGGCTGTGGTTAGCGACACCTTTATTTTTGTTTACCCATATGATAGCACAAGAGTTGTCAGTCAATCAACCAGGCACTCATGAGAGTACTCAGTTCCATATTTCTTCTATGCATTTTTTCCTTTTTCTTTCCCCAAAGATGGTTGGCATTCTACAGCTAGTGAGTATGCCATGTCCTCATTAGCTCATTACGTCCTTCACACAACTAAGAGGTTTTTACATTTTTTTTTATTTCTGAAAAACTTCAGGATCTTTCAGCAGTGTCCATGGCAGGAGATAAAATTGAGAGGATAGTAAGACTTGCTCCTTTTGAACTTGTTATTTTTCCCCTTCCCTGCAAGCATTTTGATATTTCTCTATTGTGCCACTGGAACCATTAGAGGCCTGTTCTGATGTCTGATCTTCAGAAACAGAAAGGATAAAAATCTAATAGAAAAAAATATAGTAACTCTGAGCTTCAATGCTCCCTGGAATTGGTTGTTATTTTACTGATGCTTCATTATCCAGCTAGGTAATCATTATCAGTATCTTCATTACCTAGTTAGGTAATGAAATGTCTGCAAGAAAATCTTAAAAAGCACCAAGAACTTCACAGAATAATAATTTTTCTGACACTTGCCTTGAACACAAAGTGGTCTATATACTCTGACTTCAAACAGTATGTTTTGTTACAAAATGCACATTTGATTTTGGATTAGTTATTGAATGAATTAACCCATGGTGGTCTTGAAAACCTTATTGATGAGTATAATAACAGAATAACAGAGTTGGAAGGGACCTCGGAGGTCTCCCAGTTCAACTCCCTGCTCAAACAGGAAACCCTATATTATTTCAGACAAATGGTTGTCCAATCTCTTCTTAAAAATTTCCAATGTTGAAGCACTCTCGATTTCTCGGGGCAAATTGTTCCATAGATGTTAGAAAATTTCTCCTTCGTTCTAGGTTGGTTCTCTTCTTGATTAATTTCTATCCATTACTTCTTGTTCTGCCTTCAGGTTCTTTGCAGAATAGCTTGACTCCCTCTTTTTTGTGGCAGCCCCTTAGATATTGGAACACTGCTATCATATCACCCTTGCTCCCTATTTTAATTAAACTTAGACATATCCAATCCCTGCAACAGTTGTTCATATGTTTTAGCCCCCAGTCCCCTTAATCAGCTTTGTTGCTCTTCTCTGCATTCTTTCTGGAGTCTCAATATCTTTTTTATATTGTGATGACCAAAACTGAATGTATAATATATGTGATACCCAGCCAAAATGACTTAACT